TTATATATATATATATATAATATTGAGTATGTCAGATTGGAGTCATTTGAACTGCAAGGTCAATGGTTCAAGCTGTTCCTTGGAAACCCTATACAGGGTTGCCATGGGTTAGAATCAACTTGATGGCACTTAACAACAACAACAATATATAAGATGAATTTCTACACAACTTTTTGGACTTTCAACAGCTATGTCAGTGCTTCATTAGCAAAGCATTTATACAAAAGTTACTTAAAGATGTAAAGAAATTCATATTTTAAATCATGAAAACAGTAGATGCTGAATCTAACTTACCTGATAGGAATTTTACAGCTATTCTTTCACCATTACCCATCTAGTCCTTTCAGACAAAGAAGATAAAATTACAACTGTAACGTATGTCATCAAATCTAAAATATGGGAAGCCAGTGAAACTACCAAACCACAGTTTGTTTTAAACTCAAACAAGTGAACTTCTAAACAATCCAAAAACCACAATAGATAACAGTGGTGGTGGTGGTGTGCCATGGAGTCGGTTCTGAATCATAGCGAACTTGTACAGGGTTTCTGAGGTTGTAAATCTTCATAGGAGCAGAAAGCCTCATCTTTCTCCTGTGGAACAGCTGGTAGTTTTGAACTGCTGACCTTGAGGTCACAACTTTAAAAAACAGTTTTTAAAATCTACAACATATTGCCATAAGCAAAAGAAAAACAACACACTGAGAAAAAAAATACTTAAAACTCATATCATGGACAAAGAGCTAATTACCCTTCTATATAAGGAACTGCTGTAATGAGAGAGGGAAGAGGAAAAACTGGTCTGAAATTTAGGGATATGTGTGAACTCCCCAACCTATAGACACTGACCTAATCACTGGGCACTAGAGCTGAAGTGTGGGGAGGCATGCAAGATCTCCCAAATTTGCAGACAGAACCCAGTTGACCTAGCTGACCAGAACTCGGCCAGACGAGAATAAAGAAGTTTGGTACTGTGAGCAAGCATAAATTGCTACAATTTGATGAACTAGACCTTTGCTTATGGATGTGTTATTGTTGTTAGGTGCCATCAAGTCAGTACCAACTCATAGCGACTTTATGCACAGCAGAATGAAACACTGCCCGATCCTGGGCCAACCTCACTACTACTGTTGCCATGCTTGAGTCCATCGATGCTGCCACTTGGCCAATCCATCTCCTTGGAGGTCTTCCTCTTTTTCTCTGACCCTCCACCTTACCATACATGATATCCTTCTCCAGGGACTGGTCCCTCCTGACAATATGTCGGCAATATGAGAGACAAAATTTGGTCATCTTGACCTCCAAGGAACACTCTGGCTACACTTCTTCCAAAACGGATCTACTGGTTCTTTTGGCAGCCCATGGCACTTTCAATATTCTCCTCCAACACCAGAACTCAAAGCATCAGTTCTTCCACCACTTGTCTGTCAGTTTGTTGTACTGTGGTGGCTTGTGAGTTGCTGTGACTCTGAAAGCCATGCCACCAGTATTTTAAATACCAGCAGGATCACCCATGGTGGACAGGTTTCAGATGAGCTTCCAGACAAAGATAGACTAGGAAGAAGGAGTGGTGAACTACTTCTGAATACTTAGTCACTGAAAACCTTATGAATAGCTTGTGGAT